ATATGTCGAAGTAATATCTTCACTGATACAGCTCCTAGGGCAATGGAAACTAAAGAGAAAATAAACAAATGGGACTACATCAAAATAAAAAGCTTCTGTACAGCAAAAGAAACCATCAATAAAATAACAAGAAAGCCCACTTCATGGGAGAACATATTTGCCAATGTTATCACTGATAAGGGTTAAATCTCCAACATTTACAGGGAACTCATACAACTTAACAAAAGGAAGATAAACAACCCAATCAAAAAATGGGCAACGGACCTAAATAGACACTTTTTTAAAGAGGGCATAAAGAAGGCCGAGAGACTTATGAAAACATGCTCAAAGTCACTAATCATCCAAGAGATGCTAATCAAAACAACAGTGAGGTACCATCTCAAACCTGTCAGAATGGCTAACATCAACAAATCAACAAATGACAAGTTCTGGCGAGGATGTGGAGAAAAAGGAACCCTCGTGCACTGCTGGTGGGAATGCAGACTGGTGCAACCACTGTGGAGAACAGTATGGAATTTCCTCAAAATATTAAAAATGAAACTCCCATTTGACCCAATAATCCCACTCCTAGAAATATATCCCAAGAAATCAGAAACACCAATCAGAAAGGATATATGCACCCCTATGTTCATAGTGGCACAATTCACCATAGCTAAGATTTGGAAACAGCCTAAGTGCCCATCAGCAGATGAGTGGATTAAAAAACGGGGGTACATCTACACAATGGAATACTATGCTGCTGTAAAAAGGAAGGATCTCCTACCATTTGCAACAGCATGGATGGAACTGGAGAGCATTATGCTAAGCAAAATAAGCCAGTGAGAGAAAGATAAATATCACATGATCTCAACTATTTGTGGAATATAATGAACAACATAAACTGATGAACAAAAACAGATCCAGAGACAGAGAAGCATCGATCAGATGCTCAAACCTCAGAGGGAAGGTAGGGGAGGGTGGAGGTAAGGGGAAGAGATCAACCAAAGGACTTGTATGCATCATATAAGCCTAACCAATGGACACAGACACCAGGGGGGTGAGGGCATGACTGGGGGCGTGGGGGGACAATGGGAGAGGTAAGGACACATATGTAATACCGTAATCAATAAAGAAAAAAAGTTATTTGGATATAAATGTCAAGTCCTTAAAGGCAAGCTCTGTCTTGAGGGTTGTAAAAAAAAATTGAAATTGAAATTTCATTAAGTGCTTCTAGAATAAATTTTAAAAGCAAACAAAATAATTAAATAACATTGTTCCAAAGCTGGATTCCATTCAAGTTAACACAATCGACATTTATTAAACACCTCTTCAAGATATAAACACAAATTTACAAGGCAGGTCAGGTATATACTGACTTAAGATAGATCCCATGAAACTTACAGAAAAATAATTTTCCAAAATCATTACTTATACCTTATTGTAATTTTTCAACTAAATCCTATAAATTCAATAAATGTATAATATAAAGAAAATATAGATTTAACTATCTGAATACTGGACTAAAAGATTGCTATTGTCATAAAGAATTTTTAAAGGCTAAGTGGGAGAATTAGGAAAGATCACCAAGAGTAAACATGTGTCCTTAGAGACCAACACTAAGATCATCCACACCCTTGTATTTCCGATTACTAAGAGCAAATGCGAATGTTGGAAAGTGAAGAAGGCTGATAGGCATAAAAATGATTCATAGTGTTGGAGTAGAGCTCTGCAGATGCTGGAAAGAAAGGCGAATAAGTGGGTCCTCGAGCAAATGAACCCTAACACATTGCTGGAAGCACAAGTGACAAAATTGAAGTTGTCCTACTTCAGGCACATCATGAGAAGGCAGAGTTCTTTGGAAAAGACTATATAATGCTGAGAAAAATATAAGGCAAAAGGAAGAGAATGGGCAAATATAAAATGGATTGGTTCCATAAAAGAAGCCACAGGCATGAATCTACAGGAGCAGGGCAAGGCTGTTGAGGATAGGACATTGTGGACATCACTCATCATAGAGTTGCCAGGAGATGGAAACAACTCAATATGTAAAACACACACACACACACACACACACACACACACACACACACACACTCCTCTCAAATATAAAAGAAATTTCTATCTTATAAAAGCCCAGTGACCTTTACGGCGGAATGACCAGAATGCCCGGTCGCTATGACGTGCACTGACCACTAGGGGGAAGATGCTCAATGCAAGAGCTGCCCCCTGGTGGTAAGTGCACTCCCACAGTGGGCACACCCGCTCAGCCAAAAGCCGGGCTCACAGCTGGCAAAGAGCAGCGGTGGTGACGGGGAGTGGGCCTAAGCCGGCAGTCAGACATCCCCTGAAGGGTCCTGGACTGCTAGAGGGTGCAGGCTGGGCTGAGGGCGCCTCCCCCCTCCAGTACACGAATTTTGTGCACTGGACCTCTAGTTGTTATATATAAAATCTTCCACTGATTTTCTCTCTACATCCATTAACTACTCAAGCCTTCCTTTGGCATCATTCTCACAAAGATGCTCTGGGCCTCACTGTTGCATCCAGGAGCATTTCCTGTTGCCTCCTGCTCCTCCTCCCTTTCTTTGACTCTTCTCTTTTCTCCATGTTCTTTCTGGGCGAAATGATCAAGATACACATTTCCAAAAATATGACTGCATTTCTAAAAACCAGTCTTTCATCCCAGCATCAAGTATTTTCAGCATCCTATTGGGACTTCCATTAAAACCTCAAATTCAAAACATCTAAAACAGAATATCTTTCCTTCAAGCTGCCTCATTCTCCGGGATTTCTTCTCTAGGTTGGCATAATATAACCATACAGGGGGTGAGAAACCTCAGTGTTATTTCAAGCTACGTGTCCTCCTTTGCTCTTCAAACCTAGTCAGTCTGTCCCCAGCCCCTTCCTTAAGAATGCCTCCTCTGCATTCCCCAGCCACTGCTCACACTCAGTCCTTGCCTGAGTGTTTCCATACCCTTCCCACCCCCCGTCCTTTTTTTCCTCAATCCATCTTATATCATGTTTTTCTTACTTCACCCCACCCTGTCTGAAAACATGTGATGAATGAACACTGTGAGAGGACAAAGTTCTGAACAGCACATACATATTTATTCCTGACTTGGCCAAAGCAGTCTTTTTAGACTTTTCTACGGACATGTTCAATAGACTTAACTGAAATTCTTGTACTGTTTCCCAACTATGATGAGGGTGGAAATGGCAGAATGATACACCACCTTCATTCTAGTTGCTTTCATATACTGCAGACATTGAAAAGCAGGCAAGTTCCCCTTCCGGGATCCCTTACAGCTAGAATCTGATTGTTCTGTAGCATCCACCAGTCCAGCACTATGGCACAGGCTTCAGAAGGCAGAAGTGATGGAGGCCACACATCTGCTGCCTCTGCTGTTTTACTGGTAAGCATGTCATGCAGAGGTTTTGTTTTTCTCTGGCAGTGGAAATCTCCAGTCCCAGTCACTGACCTCTTCCCTGTGGAGTACCAGGGTTTGGGTATTTAACTGGTATAGTTGGTAACATTAAATAACAGTCAGTACCTGTAGCAGCAGCTTCTCCATATGGGTGGGGGCTTCCTGACCAAAGACGAGGACATAACTATGTCGGCAGTCTTGTCATGTGGTGTGATTTTAATTAAGGTCATTTCCAAAAGTTCAACTTACAGTCTCCCAGGAATGATTTTCCTGAACTGAAGTTACTTCCTGCTTGAACAGCTAGAATGGATTCTGTCATATGCAACTGAATTCTGAGTGTTACACATGCCATTCACTTGCAAAAGTCCATGTCTTTACTGGAATGTCCCTCCCTTTTAATCTTAGTAAGCTCTAATTTAGCCTTAAAGGCTTAAGTCACATTTCACTTCCCTAGAAAACATTTCTATATCTTTTTTTAAGCTAAATAATTGCTTCTTTCTCTGTGGTACTATAGAATTTTGTTAGTATTACTAATGTTATTATAAACAAATTGTATCATAATTATTGGGTAACTTACCTTTTCCTTATTTGACCATGAGATATTTGAGGGCAAGGAATATGCTTTACTCCCCTTTGATTCTCTAATGCTCTGGGTTTGGCGTGTAGAGACTCAGTAAACACTGGTTGAAATGAATGCAATGCACTGAGTGTGAGAGAGTGAGTAGAGAGTTCACCCTCTAATATGGAATTTGTACTAAGTGCCAAATTGGGGAGGGGGGATACCTGAGGGCCACAAATATAAGAATAAAAGACATTAACTATAAATGGAAGCTGGACCAACAATAAGTGGGATGTGCTTCTAAGTATTAAAATATGGATACAATTTGACCTTGTGAAGAAGATAAGGGGGCTATTTTAAGCTTGAATGTGAGGGAGTTTAAGGGGGTAGGGGTGGGACTGTAGGGAAACAGTGGATGGATTAGGAAAAAAACCTGAACAGAGGTTTTGTATAGGGCAGTTGTAACAGGTGAGTCATGAAAAAAAGAGGTTATCAGCCTGGAGTAGTCTAATAGAAGCCTAGCCTGGGGAGTGTGACAATTTTTCAGACAGGTAAGAGTGATTCCTTGAAGGTTTTAAAGAAAGAAACACATTTTCCAAAGCTGGCTAGGGAATTAAGAGATCTGGGAGTTGCTTTCTTAGGTTGACATGCTTTAAGAAAAATACTACTAAAAACTATTTTAAGGGTAAGTAAACTCAGAGGTCCAATGCTTGTTTGGATTATGAAAATATCCCACAGTTCACATCAGAGCTCTTTGTATGAAATCCATGTGTCTTTTGCTCATATTAAGTTATAATTCTCAAAACATTATGAGAAGGAGAAGGATCATACTGAATGCGTCATCACCCACATTCTAAAGATGTACTAACTCCTTATCAGGCTAAAAGAAAAGAACTTAGAAATGGAAAAGTTTGTGGGTTGTTCACCCACCTTCTATTTATTAAAAGAAACTCTAAAATATCATAAACTTTAAAGCTTGTCCTTAAGACCTTTGGTCCATTAGTGCATATGATAAATTATGTACTTAACTTTGAACTTACCCGTCCTGCGTAGTGCATAATAGTGAATGCTGTGCCTTGATCTTTGAGGGCAACATTCCCATTCCCATCCTTCATGGGGGAATATACTGCATTTGTATTTGAGGATTCAAGGAGACTTTGTAGTTTTTTGGGAAGATTTGTTTCCATTGACCAAATCATTTGACTTTCTTCATCCAATAAAGAGAGAAATCCAGATGGCTTCTGAAAGTTAAGAATTTTTTTTCTTCTGTTACTCAATTTGGTATTTTTGTTATTCATGAATGATCCTTTATATTTTCATCATTTCATATAAAGCACTCAGAAAATAAATGTCTTTACTTTTAACACACATCTATTTTTGCTCACTGTTAGAATCAAAACTCGATGTAATGTAGGCCCTCAGTAGTATTTATTAATTAGAGCAATGAATAAAAAAATTAAAGAGTATATTTTAATAACACTAAAACACTGGAGTTATTAAAAAGTATAATCTCATCTCAAAAAGAAAATTAAATTTCCAACTACAGGAAAGTTGCAATTCTTCTTGAACTATAACAATGTCAAATACTTCATACTTATGGTGACAAGTTACTTATCAAAAACCAAGACCTACAGTGATGTTGGCCATTAAAATTATGACAAAATCTCATTCAGTGGGAAGTATAAGTGACTCTATCATATTCCAATATTTAGACTTAGGAGAAAAGAAAGCTTGAAGCTTATAACTTATAAAATTGAAATTAAATGTCTGATAGTTTATTGTGCCAAGTAAGGAAAATAAAGTCATACAGTAGGCAACAATATAAAATTAATCTTATATGAAGAAAAATACTGCTTAAAGAACTTCCCCACCTCTGATACTGCAATCTCCCACACACAGAACACCATTCTGTCCACATGGTTTGCCCATCAACTGAAGAACTTTTACTCAGTTCTGTGCTGCTTATCTTTTCTTTCCTAGGAAAAATTTTCTGATGCTATGTTTTAAAATAAGGTACTTTATATTACTTCTTTTTTTTTTTAATCCTCACCCAAAGGGTGAGGATATTTTTTCCATTGCTTTTTAGCAAGAGTGGAAGGGGAGAGAGGGAAACATTGATTGGTTGCCTCCCACAGGCCACGAACCCACCGGCCTGGGGGTGGGGATCGAACCTGCAAGGAAGATATGTGCTCTTGAGCAGGAACAAAACCTGCAACCCTCCTGTGTGCAGGCCGACATCCTAACCACTGAGCCATGTGGGCCAGGGCTATTATTTCTTTACGTTATTCTGTCTATCGTCTGTCTTAATTCCTCACATCAAATCAGTGTGCTTTTTGAAGTATGAATACCATAAAAAAAAGAATCCTTCTCAGAAAGTGAGATCCATATTGACCCTCATAGAAATTTCAGTTTTATTTTGACTTGAGGTAACTAAACCATACTACCACTGGCCTTACCCGATGTCATTTATTTGGACAACAGAAAGCCATTTTTTGTGTCATGAATATTTTAGTTGTGTTATGCATTTCAGAGTCTCCTGCTCATGCTAAAGATAACCCAAAGATGGTATACAGTTGTCTGAGGGCTGCAAAAGTTGAGATCATTCTGGTGCCACCCTTAGGGAACAAAGGTTGAAAGTGGCAGATATAGGAAGGACCTCCACCTGGTGGAGGCACACACGCCAGGAGTGCCCTTCTGGAGACATCTGGCAACTAGAGGGCCATCTCTAGAAGGAGCAGCCAATGGCCTTCCGGGAAGGAAAAGGAAGAAGAACTAATGAGGTGGAAATGCACTATGAAGGAACTGGAAATGCCTGCAAAAAGCAAGTTCACCACCGTAGCAAATTACCGAGAACACCTGGAGAGACAGTTCTTATCAATACAAAAACGCTTTTCAATAAGGAAATTTGGAGAAAAAAGTCCATTACAGGGAGTGTTATCCTAGCAGGCAGTTCTGCATGATACATCACAAGAATCTCAGTGTGGCAGGGACCCCATAAAGAGTCCCCATAATGAATAGCACAGAGGTGAAAAAATGTTAAAAATATATAGGTATACAGATGGGTGAGGAGAGGCCTTAAAAAACACTCAATGTAAGAAGTTTGTTTAGGATGAGTACTGTCTGGATTATTTTAAAATTTTTTTAAAGGTCTTTATTTCGATTTGTAGCAACCTCTTTGCTGATGAGTAAGTAAAGCAGTGATATTAGCTCTAGCTGGTTTGGCTCAGTGGATAGAGCATCAGCCTGCGGACCAAAAGGTCCCAGGTTTAATTCTCTTCAAGGGCATGTACCTTGGTTGCAGGTTCCTCCCCTGCCCAGGCCCTGGTGGGGGCTCATGCAGGAGGCAACCAATTGATGTGTTTCTCTCACATCCATGTTTCTTTCTGTCTTTCCCTCTCTTCTACTTTCCCTAAAAGTCAATGAAAAAAATACCCTTGGGTGAGGATTCACAGAAAACAACAAACAAAGAAACAACAACAACAAAGAAAGTGTTAAAAATAAAGTGTGATATTACACTTTCCGAAGCTGCTCCTTCATCTATTAACTTGAAGTCCTCTCTCTATCTGCTGTTAAACACACCCACAGACAAACACTCACAAGTGCATACAGACACGCAGTGAGGGATAAAGGGGCTGCTTAAAGATTGTGTGAAAGTGTGTCCTTATTTCAGGGGCAGTGACAGACCTCCTTTGGAGGTGAGAATTTTTGTTCCTTTGATAAAGCCTTTAATGGATGGGTAAGTAAATCAAAGACAAGGCCCCAATTAGTTTAAGGAAAGTGATTAATTCTAAAGGAGCTAATCTACTCTGCTCCAAAAGCAAGATGATATTTTATATTTTGCAAGGATGATGTGGTTGGTTACCAACAAGATACATTTTTAAAGCACTATAATTTGTATTATCTCCAAAAACTTTTTCAAGTTCACAGGTGCTGCATTTTCTGAACATTTGCTAGAAAGCCATGAAAAAACAGCGATGATCAAACTTACTGACTTGGAAAACTTGCTGCATTAGGAAAATGCATAAAAGAAGAACACAGAACATGGAGAAGTAAGTCACAAAGAGGGATTAATGACCTTTCAATTCCTTCAGAAGTGAAGTCTTAAGAGAGAATGAATTGTTCCTCTGTATGTGACAGGTTATCATATGCATTTTCACCATAATAACAAAAAGCAGCAACACTGTGTGCGACAAACTGTACTAGACAGTTGGAGAATTTGGGAAGAATCTGGATTGACCCCTCCCCTCAGGGACATAAGACAAATATATGTTCATTGAAATATAAATACAGCCTATTGAAAACTTGAAATATTTGTGAGTAGTGGAAGATTGAAGGTTGTGAGAAAGGAAACAATAAGCTTCTTTTGTATTGTAGGGTATATGCTTGCCTGGCATACAGACCTGTGTATTTCACCCTACACTTAGCATGCTTTTTCACTACATTTGTATGGGTATCAAAGAAAAGCAGCAGCCAGAAATGTCCACTCTCATTTCCAATTCATACTGATAAGGGCCTTACTATTGAAATTATCTTTCCAAAGATGAAGCCTCAGGGATGACAGCCAAAGAGATAGAAGAAACATCATTCAGCTGACCACTGTATAGCTGTTAATGATATAGCAGCAAATGACAATGAGGGTGGGGGTACTGAAGCTCTTCATATACAGTTAAGTATATATCGCTGTCAGTTTGAAGATATTTTTAAAATCTCAAATAAGTTATGTACTTATGTATGTCATAATGAGGGAGGGCTTTCTGGAGAAATAAGGTTTCTAATGTTTAAAATAGGTTGACAAGTTGGTAGCAGAACAAGAGTATTTTACCATATAAAAACACATAAAAGAATTTATAAGTAAGAGTAGAAAATTAAATACTATTCTCTTCAGTAGCTGAATGTTATCAATTTTAAACAATGTTCATGTGTTTTAGAGATATTATGGGTAAATCTACATAATCCTATATTAGTAGATAGGGGTTGCTACTTATATGACAGATTTTTGTTTATATAATAGAAATATTGATGCAAAGATTCTTGCATTGCAAGGCAGAAACAAAGATAATTATAAACACTTGCCGATATTCTAAGAGGTATGCATATGTATTTTTCTGCCAGTTTTTTTATACTTAAATTTAGAAACTTTAAAGATAAATAAAAAAGATTCTGAATTTATGTTATGATCTTATTAGTCTTGCATGTTATTTTAACTAGTAAAATATAAATTTTGCTCATTGAGCATTTGCCAAAAGGAGAGTTTAGTAATATAATAAATGTGAATATCTTTATAACGGAATGATTTAATATATCTTGTTCTTTCAATGAATTAGTAAACCTTCAAATACCCCTTCAGAAAAAGGTAACATGCTCCTCAGTTGACTTTGAAAGATTATAAATACATAGAGTCTCACATAGAAAGATATCTCAAAAATAAGGTCTCTTAAAGAAAATTGTCTCCAACATATCTAAATGCATGTACTAGTATTCTGTAAAGTCACTAATTATATTACATGAATACCTGGAAAAAAAAATCCAAAACTCCAGTCTGGTTACCAGGAGAATAAGCCGTTTCCATGGTAATTCCCTCTTGTACACACTCTGCTTGCTCATGTAGAAAAAGCACTTCATTGATATAGTGGTGTATCTTCTCATTGGTCATGTTGACACAAAGCTATTATGGGAAAAAGAAAACAATTCACAAGATAATATGGCCATGCAGATCCACTCTTTCTACAACACAGATTCAGATTGGTGAAATATTGACTCAAGGACATTCAACACCAATTAGTCTATCAAGATAAAGCATTGCAGTATTGTTGAAAAGCCAAAATAAGGAGTTCCACTGGATACATTGTCTGATTATTTAATTTAAAGAATGTTAAAAACAACAAGTATAATTATAGCATTAACTTAAAAATTTGTAGTCTAAAATATATTTGAGGATATGAAAAATATTTCCAATAAATATTTGGTCTCTAGTCAACAAGTGAAGATAAAAGCTGGATTGACTGTGACATCCCAGGGAAAGGAGAAGCATTTCTTGCCTCCTCATTTTTGTTGCACGAGAAAATGGGTTTCTTTCAGAAAGAATAACCGGCCTAAGCATTCTATTGCAGAAACTATGTCCTTTATCTGAAAAATTTTTGACATTTTCCCAAATGTTTGTTTTCTTCATTCCTATCAGGAAACAAAGATGTTATTTTTAACCTTAGTTTTAATTTCTTAATCTTAAAAATTATCTTAACATATTTTAAAAAAGAAAAGAAACCAAATCAGAATAAAGTCTTACTTTTCTCTAGGCTACTCTCCTACTTTTCTACTTTCTTTTTATAACAACAACAACACTCAAAACAGTGTCTCCTTATCCCAAATTCCTCTCCTTCCCAATACTGAAAACAGTGTAATAAAATTTTGCCTCCCTGGTACCACGAAAATTGCTTTTGTGGAAGCCACTAGTGATGGGTGCAATTCTAAATCCAATGTTCAATCCTCAGTGTTCACTTTCCTTGACATGCCTGCCATATGTGACAATGATTCCTCCGCTTCCATGGAGCACCGTCTCACCCGTCTTCCAGAACATCATTCTCGGCCCCATACCTCACTAGCCACTCCTATGTCCTTCTTTGACTCCATCCTGGTGTTCCAGGGCTCAGTGCTCGAGCCTTGTTTCTTCCCTATCTACACCCATTTCTTAATGAACTCACTCAGTCTCACAGACCATCATGTTCTCCCACCTGCAACCTAACCACTGTTATACTAGGTAAAATCTAAAAGCCACTTAGAAATATTTAGAATTCCGTAACTCCCTGAAAATAACTAAAGGTGAATAATTTATATAAATCAAAATAACAGAGAAAGGTAATAAAAAAGAAGCATGAGTTTGGCCAGTGTTGCTCAGAGCATCAACCTATGAAGCAGGAGGTCACGGTTCGATTCCTGGTCAGGGCACATGTCTGGGTTGCAGGCTCACTCCCCAGTAGGGGGTGTGCAGGAGGCAGCCATTAAATGATTCTTTCTCATCTTTGATGTTTCTGTCTCTCTCTTCCTCTCTGAAATCAATAAAAATATATATATTTTTAAAAGCACGAGGAAACTTTGTGGGGTGATGTGTTCATTATCTTGGTGATGTTCGTGCTTTCAGAGGTTTGTATATATGTCAGCACTTATCAAACTGTATACTTTAAATATGTGCATTTATTATGTTAATTATATCGCAATAAAACTTTTAAAAATAGTAGTTTAAGGCCTCTATCCAAAAACTTTACTAAGATAAAATGCATATTCCTAGAAATTAACCCTCACTATTCTAATTCCCCAGATCTAGGGTAGGACCCAGAAATCTGCATTTGCAACAAGCCCTTCAAGTAATTCTAATGCAGGTTGTCCTTAAACCAACATCTGTGGAACACTGGTCTTTGGGAGGAAGGGTTTCTGGAACAAAGGTGTGACTAGAATGTTGTTTCTGGGGAAAACAGTAACTTTTTCTATTAGGGGTGTTACAGCTTTCTATTTTATGCCTCTAGCACTCATACTCAATTACCATAAAATATATTTAGTATAGTATTAATAGTTTAAAGGCAAATGTAAGTCATAGTTTCCCCCATCTTATCCTATATAATACCGAGGTAATATGCAAATTAACCCTCACACCCTCACAAGATGGCAGCCTAGGAGGTGGAGCTTTTGACACTGACTGGTATAGAAACAGACCAATCAGAACCTAATCTGGGTGAACTGTGAAGGCAGAACCTAATGTGGGGACTGAGGAGGGGTTTTAAGGGCAACAGCTGTTTGGTGTAAGGTGTAAGAAAGCGGTTCAATTTTTCAATGACCGGTTTGGCAGTATAGTGCATATGGCTGGCTATCAGTCCAGATATAGGGATTATGTATTTTTGTCTGCCAAGAGAATCTCCTGCTGCTGAAAAAGCCCTCCCCCCCATTTAAGCAATCCTATCCTATATAATCTATCTATACTAATAAAAGGGTAATATGCTAATTAGACCAGGTCGACCAGCCATCTTCCAGATGTCTGACTTCCTTCTGAACAAAGCCATGGTGGTGAGGGCCGAGGCAGAGGCAGTTAGGGGTGATCAGGCCGGCAGGGGAGGGCAGTTAGGGGAGAGATCAGGCTGGCAGCGGATGGCAGTTGGGGGCAACCAGGCTGGCAGGGGAGGGCAGCTGTGGGCAAGATCAGGTCGGCAGGGGAGGGCAGTTGGGGGCGAGATCAAACCAGCAGGGGAGGGCAGTTAGGGGCGATCAGGCAGGTAGAGGCAGTTAGGGGCGATCAGGTCAGCAGTGGAGAGCAGTTAGGGGTGAGATCAGGCTGGCAGGGGAGGGCAGTTAGGGGCAATCAGGCAGGCAGGCAGAGGCAGTTAGGGGTGATCAGGCAGGCAGAGGGGTTAGGGGCAATCAGGCAGGCAGGCAGTTAGGAGCCAGCAGTCCCAGATTTCGAGAGGGATCACCCTGCTAATCTCATCACCCTGCTAATCTCATCACCCTGCTAATCTCATCATGATTGCTAAAGCTCAAAATGATTGCAGGCCCTTGGTGTCCAAAGCTATCACAAGAGTCGGGGGCAGAATGGGACAGGGCAACTGAAACACCACACAGGGAGGGAGACCCTTTCCACCCGGCCTGGCTCTGCCATTAATCACCACTTATGGGGAAGCCCTGCCCACCTGGCCGGGACTCTGGATGGGCCCCATTGCTGCCCACAGGGAGGCTCTGTCCACCCTGCCCACCCTGCCAGGGCTTTGTTATCAATGCTACATAGAGGTAGGCCCTATCAACCTGGCCAGGGCTCTGCGATGGGCCCGCCCATCCTTGGCAGCTTGCCTCGGCTCTCGCAGCCACGGCTTTGTCTGGAAGGATATTCGGGGGGTTGTCTGGAATATGTCCGGTCTAATTAGCATATTACCCTTTTATTAGTATAGACACTAGAGGCCCGGTGCACAAGGTTCACAGTCTGGGAGCCCTCGGGGGATGTCCAACTGCCAGCACGGGGAGCAGGCCTAAGCTGGCAGTTGGACATCTTTAGTGCTACTGCGGAGGCAGGAGAGGCTCCTACCACCACCGATGCTCTCCCAGCCTTGAGCCCAACTTCTGGGCTTCTGGCTGAGCGGTGCTGCCCCCGTGGGAGCACACTGACCACCAGGGGCCAGCTCCTGCATTGAGCATCTGCCTCCTGGTGGTCAGTGCACATCATAGCGACCAGTCCTTCCACTGTTTGGTCAATTTGCATATTAACCTTTTATTATATAGGATAATAGATGGAGAATAATCAATAAAGTAGAAATACACTAAATAAAAATTTAAATAACTTTTTAAAAATAAGACTTATCTATACAGCATATCTTGATATCCAAAGAGTAACAAATATAATTCTTAGCTCCAGGTCAGAAATGATGACCCAGGACTATTGCCCTTGTTTCCAATACTTTTTTTGCACTTCTGTTTCACAGTGAAAAAATGGTTTCTGTGATTTGATGATAAATAAATGTCTATAGTTTGAATTAGCTTCCCTATTTCTTCAGATTACAAAATAAAATCTAAGTGAAAAGTAGAATATGAACCACACCACATTGGTTCTGTCTTGGAAGTTATTGTAAAACCTAAAAAATAAAACAAAGTACAATAAAATAATAAAATAAAATTGAGAGAATTTTCTTAAACTTAGAGTCACTCTTTGCATCATTTTCTTCTTCCTACCCCTCCATCCATGATATCTGGAATTACTTGAATTTTCTTATTTCTAAATGACATGGCCAGTAGTTATAGAACTTTTCCTCCCTGCCTCTTGACAATTAGATTTCATGAGTTATACACAAACCTGGAAGTTTTATATATTTAAAACTAAATGTTTCTTAAACTTGCACTTTTACTGGTTAATTCTCTGAATATAAAAAATGCTAGAACTACAGTCACTTCAGGTGAGAACATAGCATATAGAAAATTTAACTTGACATGCTTGGTTGTCGAGGCAAAAACAACTGAATATGAATACAGACCAACAAATTCTGTATATTACGGCTAGCAAAGGGATGGATGGAATACAGAAACATATGTACTTCCTTATAACTCCTACAGTCTAGCACATTCATCCTCTTGTATTTTTTCATCAAAACTAAGTGGTATCAGTAGATTAATAGCTGTGTTTATATCTAGGAATGATTCTGGAAAGACAAATCATTTTCCATAAAACTGTGTAGCATCTGTCCACAATAGTATCCCCACTGTGAAAGAAAAACATTTAATTGTCACTCTCATTTTAATAATAATCAAAAACATAAAGTTCTGTTGTGAGAGCAAAAAAAAAGAGAAAATTTTAAAATTTAGTTCACTTTGCTTAAAAAATATTTTGAGGCTTTCCACTAATCTAGTAATGTGTTCAACCCTCTAATGCTAAAGTAATTTTGTTACTAAAAATTAATAAAATTGTTAAGTGTGGGGTGAAATACTTACAGAAAATGAATTACTCCATTATGGAATAGAACCATTAAAAAATGTTCTCTTTGATTATAAGATATACACCACTGTAATTATTTTAACTTTTGATTTTAAAAAGTACATTAAATCATTTAAGATAACACAAATAGATCTTCTATCTCAGGGGCTTGATTTAAAGTTGTTATGGAAGGTGTACCTAAATATAATATATTTTAGGAAATAGAT